TTGAATAACAGTACACGTGTAGTGAGTGTACTATACAGTAGAGCACACTTGAATAACAGTACACGTGTAGTGAGTGTACTATACAGTAGAGCACACTTGAATAACAGTACACGTGTATGTGTACTGTACCATAGAGCACACTTGAATAACAGTACCCGTGTATGGTGTACTATACAGTAGAGCACACTTGAATAACAGTACACGTGTTTGTGTGCTATACAGTAGAACACACTTGAATAACAGTACACGTGTATGGTGTACTGTACCATAGATCACATTTTAATCACAGCACACGTGGTGTACTATACCATAGAGCACACTTGAATCACAGTACACGTGTAGTGAGTGTACCACATCTAACACTTGAATAACAGTACACGTGTTTGTGTGCTATACCGTCCAGGAAACTTGAATAAAAGTAGAGCACACTAGTTCAGTGTACGATACTCGTGCATTTTCGTACACGTGTAAAGGAACAATGCAATCAAAGCTATGCCTCTTGATATGGACAATTTACTGCTGGATGAAGGCCCCGTTACCATGTTTGACCATACTTCACCACGCTGGTCAATGCCGGTTGGTGAAATGTGGGTCGGCGGTGTGGAGAGGTAGTAATGGGATCAATCGATCATCGTGTTGCCACTGATGTTAGCCGGGATTGGGGATTTAATTCAGAATGCCGGCTGGGTTCATATCACAGTGCGCTAACCACTGCGCCACCGCTCCACTCACAATACTGCAATAGGAGTACAACTGTACAGTGTTATACAACAAAAATACTTTTAATTAAACTGTTATACGATGTAACTTACGCAAGCATTGTGTATATGTACCGTGTGATGTTTTAAATACATTTAAACATGCAATACAGTACTCAATACAGTACTGTGTAGTAGCCGGTTGATTTTAAATGCAGTATTTAATTAGCGTGTTGGTTACAACAAGTTAATTTAACTAAAGTATGTGGTGCGGTAAACTTCAACAACACGGCGGTACATGTTGTATGCGTGTAACAACAACAACAACAATAATAAACAACAACAACAAAATAATCAACAAAGACGTTTACTGTACCGTATTGTTGTGTAAGACGAAGGCTTGTACCACTTTCTTGTCGAAGCGATCGGAAACTCGCACGGCGAAAATCGATCAACTATGCAACGTTTAAGACCCTTTTATTATTTGTTTAAACAGATAACTAATCAATAAATCAATAAAATTAAATATAAAAGGGTCCGATGGCGACGATGCAGTGAAGTGGTCGTGGAAGAACGGACCGCCCGAGACTCGATACTAAGTTATTGCGAAAAGCTTTATAACTTCTAACTCGAGTTTATCGTCGTTGTTATAATAACAATCATCATCATCATCGTTATTATTATTAGAGTAACTAAACCTCGCCACTCTTGTAGAAGCATTTAACGAAACAAAAATTCGATTGTTGCTTTGTGTGACCCGGCGAGGCGCGTGCGTTCCGTTTCATCCGAAGCAAACGCCACCACGTGGACTTTAAAGGGCACGACACAGAACCCACGTTCATTATAATATAATAATTATTATTAAGATAAAAGTAGGATTCCTGTCCATAATAAGTATAACCCGTAAAAACAAAGTTTTTCACTCTAAATCCTTTATATGCGTGGCGGCTAGAGTCCTCTCGTCCTCTGGCTTGAGATGGCTGCCACCTATGGGTCAGATGATTGTCTGCCAGTATTAAGCAATTGGTAATTAAATATTTAATTTGTTTTCCCTAAACAGTGTAAAATTTTGGGATTTTTTTTTCACGAACATTAATTGTCTGGCACAACGAGTCTGTGTGCAAAATGTCAGCTCGATTGGATCACGGGAAGTGGGTTAAAAAACGACCGAAAGATTTGCACGGTCGTAAGCAAGCAAGCAAGCACGCAAGCAAGCGAACTTAATATAAAGGATTTAAAAAGAGAGAAAGTGAGGTTTTTTTTTTTAAGCGGCTGAAATAAAAAGAGTATAACGCGTTATAACAGTCACAGATTTTTTATTTTGTTATCGCTAAACGCTTTTTTAGGTAAAGTCACGTAGGTAAAAAAAATAATGATAAAATAATAATAAATTAAAATAACTAAATTAGATCACGACGTTTCGGAGGCAACACAAGCTTCCTTCGTCAGGTGTAAAAAAGCTTAAAATCTAGCTTTGTACTATAACCACGCTTTTTTTAAATGGGACCTTTTTGCCAGAATCAAAAGTACTAATCGGTTTCAAAGGCAATGCGTAAAAAAATCAGAGAATGTTTGTTTGCATGTTAACCACAAGCACCGTGTGTGGTTAATGTAGTAATTGATTCCTTGCAAAAGGGGCCGTCCATAAATGACGTCACGCGATTTTGGACAAGTTTTGACCCCCCCCCCCCCTCGTCACACGGCGTCACAAAAAGTCAGACCCCCCCCCTCAAATATGACGTCACAAAGGTCTGCCCCCCCCCCCCAAAACCATATTTCTATTTGAAAATAAAACATGCTTCGAATCACTTTCAACTATTGTCATTGTATAGCGTATTTAATGTGGCGCTGCACTCTGATGTTGTAGGAGTGTTGTTATAACAATTAGTGTTGTTATAACAATTCTATATTTATTTAAAGTTGCGCATTTTGATGGGACGTCACATTTCTCAACACCCCCCCCCCCCTCGTCACACATCGTCACAAATGTCTGACCCCCCCCCACCCCTAGGTGCGTGACGTCATTTATGGACGGCCCCAAAGGTTTCTATTTGGTGTTTGAACATCTTAACGCCTCCTATGTTTTTGCCACAAAGGGTAAAACCTATTATTATTTATATTCTTGGTTCTTTCGGTAAAGTCACGTAGAAGGGAAATGATAAAATAATAAAACTATTAAACAATAAAAATTCTCACGACGTTTCGACTGCAACACAAGCACCCGACTTAAGAGCCGCATGGCTTCACAGGGTTATACCAAATAAATGAACATTGAAAACTTGAAATGAACTCACCCATCCAAGCACTCTCTCCAGGCTCAACGCATCTTGGATTTCGATAATCTAACGAGATCGGACGTACTCCGTGTGATTTGTTCACAGGCATTCTAAAGACGTCTTCATATATATTGTTTAAAAAAAGTGTGACGATGTTCAACCACCCTTTGCAAGGGATCAAGTCTGCATTAACCGCAGGGACTTGTGGCGAACATGGAAACAAAAACCAGAGCTTGCTTTGTCCGTGCTTTTAACTTCCTTCCAAAAAGGGTATCCCATTCAGTGTTCGAACATCTCAAAGCATTGTTTATTGCCTGAAAAGGGTGGGGGGAAAAACCCCACGATCATTATTCCGTTTGACAGCAGCTTAAACATTTCAGAATCTCGATCATAGTTTTTTTGGGGATAGCTTAAATATATCCTTAAACCCGCCACCACCCGACACAGCCAATTAGTAAGGTTTGTTACGTAAACAGAACGTGCCAATTCGTTACTAGTACATCACATCGGTGCGTTGGAGAGCCAAGCCACAACATTTACAATCCGAGTACGACGTTTCGCCAGTAATTACATCTAGCTTCATCAGGCGACACAGCCAGATTTGTGGAGAAGTCTTCCTGTTTCGTTCCTTAAATAGAGGCGTAGATGTGATGACAACACGTGTGCGCTCTGCTTGGGGGTTTAATGAATACATATAAACGACAATGGGTATCCATTGCCACTTGGGTTATTTATATGGTAATAAATGTCGAGTGTGTGTCCTATAATCGCCGTACCAACGGTAATCCCTATTGAAGTAAGGTTACCTGCATAGCCATGCAGTGAAACAATGTATTATTTGATTATTCGCTTCCAAGCAGCACGAAGTCTGTAGCTATCCGAACGGTTAAAATTATTTTTTATTTCTCTCAATTTCGATAATTGGCCAATAGTAACTAGTTTTGCACAGAACTTGTAACTATCAATATCAATTGAGTGTCCGCGTTGACACGCGTGTTCCGCTACTGCTGACAGTTGCATTCGAAATAATTTAATATTTCTTTGGTGTTCCTTCAGTTATATATTTACGCGATCTCACAAAAAAACACCGATATTATTGATTATATTGGTCGCGAAATCCTGCTAACTTAAGTGTTCAAACATTTCAGTGTTCAAACATTTCAGTGTGAAACATTTCAGATTAATATTTCTTTGGTGTTCCTCCAGTTATATGTCTACGCGATCTCACCCAACAAAAAAAACACCGATATTATCGATGATATTGGTCGCGAAAGCCTGCTAACTTAAGTGTTCTAACATTTCAGGGTTAAAACATTTCAGTGTAAAACATTTCAGATTAATATGTATTTGGTGTTCCTCCAGTTATATATTTACGCGATCTCACCCAACACAAAAAACACCGATATTATCGATGCTATTGGACGCAAAAGCCTGCTAACTTAAGTGTTCAAACATTTCAGTGTTAATACATTTCAGTGTTAAAACATTTCAGTGTTAAAACATTTCAGATTAATATTTCTTTGGTGTTCCTCCAGTTATATATCTACGCGATCTTACCCAACAAAAAACACCGATATTATCGATTATATTGGTCATGAAAGCCTGCTACTTAAATGTTAAAACATTTCAGTGTTAAAACATTTCAGTGTTAAAACATTTCAGTGTGAAAATTTTCAGTGTGAAACATTTCAGATGAATATTTCGTTGGTGTTCCTCCAGTTATATATTCACGCGATCTCACCCAACAAAAAATACCCTATATCATCGATGATATTGGTCGCGAAAGCCTGCTAACTCAAGTGTTAAAACATTTCAGTGATAAAACATTTCAATGTTCAAACATTTCAGTGTGAAACATTTCAGATTAATATTTCTTTGGTGTTCCTCCAGTTATATATCTACGCGATCTCACCCAACAAAAAAAACACCGATATCATCGATGATATTGGTCGCGAAAGCCTCCTAACTAGTTCAAACATTTCAGATTCTGAACACGAGGAATGCCCCCCCCCCACGGGGGATGACCTCTGACCCCGGCCGAATCCGGTTCCACGTTTTGGATTCGGAGGGCGGCAAGGCCTGGGCTCAGACAAAAGCCTGCGCCCTCAAAACCTCCCACACTCAGCAACTCGGGTAAACGTCTTCGCCGCGTTTTTGTTTAAATTCTCATCGTAAACGAATTCTACGTGATAGACAGCTGGCTGTGGAATTGTGTGCGGGTTTAAGGTCGTGCGTGCGAAGGGATTGGAGGTGCTTTTAAAGGTTTGACGCGACGCGGTTTTTGTCCTTAGGCCCCCCCCAGGTCTGCCCTTGACAGGTGACGGCGGTGCGGAGTTTTAAGTCGGGTTTGTTTCGCCACCGTTAATTGTAATAATCACTAGATTTTGTCATCGCTAAAGTAAATTGTGCGAAGGGATACGGGTGTTGTTTAAGCCGCTCGTTGAACAACATTGATGCGGTGGTTACGAGGCGCCCGTACGATCACGTACGAGGCCCTTCGTAATGTGATGACGTTAAGTTAAATGTAACTGGGTTAAAAGCATTTCTATACACTTGTGCTGAATTAAGTATAGGTTATATCAGCCGTAAGTGTATTGTTATTCTACGCTTTGTATGAAAACATACGCATTGTGTGATTCTCTGGACTTGTAAACAACATTACGGAGACGTTAATGCGTAGAGGGCGCTGTTTGTACTTCTTTAATGACCTCTTTACCCTTACTGCTGTGTTCGTCTTACGATTAAATGCTTATTTTTTGCTCTCAACACACAATTAACACAACTTTAGGAACGAAACAAGGACATATTTACAGCGCTCAGAGTCTTTAATGGAAGTTACTTTTTCTCCAAAATGCGGTATTTTTTTCTGTCAATATTTAAGTTGTACATGTACTGTACAACATGTCATTGAAATTATAATGCCATTAAGCCCGCAGTCCCGCAATGTATTATTAAATCCGTTGTTTCATACCATAACTTGCATTACAGGAAACGTTTACAAAAGTTTGTCGTTGTGTGTGACTTTTGCAGTCTCTGCAGTCATGCAGCGCATTCGGACCCTGGCCACTTTGGCCAAGAACATGAAGACACCTTTGCCCGCTACTCATCAGAGTGAGTGACTTAACCGCATGGAAATTAATTATTCGTGTTGTTGTGTCGTAGACAGTAAAGTATAAGCTGGCTTAAACATGTTGTCAGAGATTAGTCAGAGAGCACACCCGTAATGCAAATGTTTTAGACAACACACTGGGTTCCATCATTGGACCTCCTTTGCCAGAACCAAAATGTGATAATAGGTTTTTCCCATTTTTTCTGGCAACAAAACAAGTGTTAAGATGTTAAAATACCAAACTGAAACCTTTTACAAGGAATCATGTCGCAGAACCACAATGCTTGTCATCAGAATGCAAGCAAAACACATGCTCTGATAATATATGCATTGTCCTTGAAACTGATTGGTCTACACCAGAGACAGCTTTCTTTTGAGCCTCGTCTCAAACATGTATTACTTACGTGTTAAATGTCTTTTGATTAGTCATTATTTTCTGTATTTGTATGACATTTATTATACAGTACTACCCTGGGATAATGTTATATTATTGTCATAGAAATGCATGATAATATTTTGCACTAGTGCCATTAAATTGTGTAAATGGTGAGAAAACATTACGCTAGAAAGATGAGTGCAGGCTGGAAAACAAATGGACTCAACAACACACAAAAATGCTGGTGGTCTGCATAAGGGACAGAGCTCTTGTAAATGCAATACACATCTTTGAGTGTTAAATCTGAAGCCAATTAAGTTGACGGCCATGGAATTGTATTCATCGTTTCGTTCCGCATTGCGATGAACAACGTGCGACGTTCACGTTCATCGTGATACCACATTGCAATATATGCATACTCGTGCATATCCTACACCAAATCATTTTAATCTGTGTGATGCCTCTCACAGTTCACACAAGTGCTGCTGCGAGCAATGCGATCGAAGTGTTTGTCGACGGGCAGTCGGTGATGGTTGAGCCGGGCACCACGGTGTTACAGGTGATGAATGTACCTTCAGTTCTTTCTTCATTTCCTTGTGTTGGGCATTGCATTTTTCAAACCTAGGCTCCATGTTTCTTGATTCATACGCATGTGTTGCGGTGAAATTAATGGCTGCTATAAAAAGTAAAACTGCCGCCAATCAGAATTAGTTTCGGAGATAAAAGAGTGTAGTAATGGGCATGCTACTGGGTGTGTGATCAAAATCGCGCATGGGGAAAAAGGAGATGATACGTTTTTAAATCCTTTATATTAAGTTTGTGTGCTTGCTTGCTTGCGTGCTTGCGTGCTTGCTTGCTTACGACCGTACAAACCTTTCGGTCGTTTTTTAACCCACTTCCCGTGATCCAATCGAGCTGACATTTTGCACACATACTCGTTGTGCGAGACAATTAATGTTCGTGAAATTTTTTTTCCAAAATTTTACACTGTTTAGGGAAAACAAATTAAATATTTAATTACCAATTGTTTAATACTGCAGACAATCATGTGACCCATAGGTGGCAGCCATCTCAAGCCAGAGGACGAGAGGACTCTAGCCGCCACGCATATAAAGGATTTATAGTGAAAAACTTTGTTTTTACGGGTTTACTTGTTTTTAGGGATATGATTGGCTACTGCATAGTTTTTCAGAGGGATAGTATTTTTCACTTCAGTGCCACTACAACCAGATTTTATTGAACCCCCTTAACGACTCATGTGGACTGCAGGCATGTGAGAAGGTTGGTGTTCAGATCCCACGGTTCTGCTACCATGATCGTCTGTCCGTCGCTGGCAACTGCAGGATGTGCCTGGTGGAGATAGAACGGGCACCCAAGGTGGGTCTGCACATTCATCGGTGTTATTACTCAATACAGACAGTACATTTTATTGGTTACGTAAAGAAATATGTATTTTTCCTAAGTTTATATCATAGCGCACCTTTTCTGTTACAATGTTTCTCTCATGTAAAGAAGATTTAAGTGGAATATTGTGTGTTTAAGGGTCTTGCAGTACCAATATTTACCATAGTCTAGCTAGTGCTGTTAGGTAGAGTAATAATATATCTTTGTAACATCTTGTCTTTCAGCCGGTTGCAGCCTGTGCCATGCCAGTTATGAAGGGCTGGAATATCTTAACAAATTCTGAAAAGACCAAAAAAGCCAGGTACAGCAATGTGCTTTATATAAAAACATGATGAGTGATATAATGTTTGTTTTGTATGCATGTAGATTGGCTATCAAGAAACAAATCCCATCTGTTTCAAAGAGCAATTTTATACGTTTGGATAATGTCTCATTGCAGGGAAGGCGTGATGGAGTTTCTGCTTGCAAACCATCCCTTGGATTGCCCCATCTGTGACCAAGGTGGCGAGTGTGATCTGCAGGTAAGCGCGCATTCATAAAACCAGACATGAGGTTTAAACTAAGGTTTAATCCTGTGTTGCCTCAATTTTTTGAACAGAAACATAATAATTAGCACCCGGAACCACACAGGCATATATTTTTTCGTACCTCCGATTAGTATGGTTGGCTACGTACGGTGCGAAAGAAGTTCAACATACATACATACACATACCTTACGTGGAATTGATACCTGCGCACACAGGACCAATCGATGATGTTCGGCAGTGATCGGAGCCGTTTCACCGAGGGCAAGCGAGCCGTCGAGGACAAGAACATCGGGCCGCTAGTGAAGACCATCATGACGCGCTGCATCCACTGCACGCGATGCATCAGGTCAATTTGCCATTGTTGTGAAACCTCTGTGTTGGTTACCCTTGGGACAAATTAAGACGCATTGACTTGGTAGAGGTGAGCCAGATTGAGTTGGTAAGCTGAGTCACGTTGACTTAGCAGATTGTAAGCTCATTAGCGGCACTACTTTCAAGTGTTCTGTTGGCAAGGTGTTGTGTAACATAAAAAAAAGTCTTAGTTCATTGACTCAAAGAAGAAAGAAGTGGGATTCATGCCTGTTTCTTGTGGGTTACATGCCTGTTTTTGCATGGTGTGGTAATATCTATGGGCGAAAATGATATTTCTTTACTGGATGACTTAAAAAATATTCTTGGTATAATGCATAGCTCCAGTGGCTTCCTAATATTGGAGACAAGCATTTCATTTGGTCGCAGACGCACATCTGAAAGCACACAATGCGGTGTTTAATAGACTGGAACATTAGTGTTTTAATGAAAGAGCACATTGGGATGTGGTGTTCGTTCTGTGTACACGTTTGGAGTCTAACGTAACCATTAGCTTAGTGATTCACAAAGACCGTGCTTGGTCCTGGCGTTGGTGCACGCTAGGTTCGGGAGCGAGGTGGCCGGCGTGGACGACCTAGGCACAACAGGCCGTGGCAGCGACATGCAGGTCGGCACCTACATTGAGAAGATGTTCCACTCGGAGCTCTCGGGCAACGTCATTGACCTGTGCCCCGTGGGGGCCCTCACCTCCAAGCCCTACGCCTTCACCGCCCGCCCGTGGGAAACAAGGTCCCTCTGCCTTCATTATTTCGCCTTTGTTGTGCATGTTTTGTAGTTTGCTGTGATGGTTGGGGTGCCCCGGTGATTTTGTGAAGTCTCTTTTAAGTTTAAGGCTTGCTTGGTGAATCTCCAGTCCTTGGGCGGTGACGCGGCCTCGTGCTTGTTGCAGAGGTTCACGGTTAAAGTTATTGGCCACCATGGTTATTATTGCGGGTGTAAAAACCATGATACTGTGTGCCATCTGCTTCACAGTGGACGTGAAAGATCCCCTGGTGTCATTCGCGAGAATAAGCCATTGTGTGCTGGTGTCGGGGGTTCAAATTTACCAAATTTTAAAATTACACAATTTGGATTATGCATAGAAATCATCACCCCCTTCTGACAGACGAATTCCCCGTTTGCAGGCCAGGTGCTGAATCACCCATGTGCCCTCAGAGACAGCTGCCGCTGGTGGTGCCCTTTCAACTGTTTGAGATGAGATGATGTAAAGTGCTCTTGAGATGTCAGCATAGAGAGTGCTATATCAAACATATTATATTATAAAGATGTTATCTCCCTCGCCTGGTTTGCAGTAGGTCGTGGGTTCGATCCCAAACCTGACACCTGCATATTTATAGTTTGCATGTTTTCTCTCCATGGTCACGTGGATGTTTTCTTCTTTCTATCCAGTTTTTCCCTCCGCATTTAGAAACGTGCATTTAGATTACTTGGCGATTATAAATCCCACACTTCGATGCACGGGCTTTATCTGGTAAATAAAACATAGTTTAGTTTCAAATTGGGCAGCTGTAGCACTGTATCAGAATCCAAATCAGAATCTTTATTTAGACTTGAGGAATCTGATGAGCTATGGAGCTCTTTTTCAAAGATGTCCAGTATGGTGGGAGGGTGTGTTGAGGTTGCCGTTTTACCATCACGGACAACTTACCATCACATTGCCGTGTGCAGGAAGACCGAGTCGGTGGACGTGCTGGACGCCGTTGGCAGTAACATCGTGGTGAGCACGCGTGGTGGCGAGGTTATGCGCATCCTGCCACGCCTGCACGAGGACATCAACGAGGAGTGGATATCCGACAAGACCAGGTGGGGGTGCCCCGGGGTCTGTTCCACCCTCGTTTGCTAGTGGGTGACAAATACCGGATGATATAGGACGAGGTGAAAAACTAAATCAAGTTGCATGGGAAATATGGGAGAACAACATCTCACTCGGTTTAACACGTAGGCTTTCGCGACCAATATTATCCATAGTACAGGTTTTTGGGTTAGATCACGTAAAAATATAAATGTGTCGTTAAACCCTTCACCACCCGACAGCCAATTAGTGAGGTTTGTCGCGTAAACAGAACGTGCCAATTCGTTAATAGTACAGCACACCGGTGTGTTGGCGAGCAAGAAAAGATTGTAAATGTCGTGGCTTTGTTCTCCAACACACCGGTGTGCTGTACTAGTAATTGGCATGTTCTGTTTACGTGACGAACCTTACTAATTGGTTGTGTCAGGTGGTGGTGGGTTTAACGACACATTAATATATTTACGCGATCTAACCCAAAAAAAACTGTATTATGGACATCTCACTCACTGAAGAGATCCTGAATCACAGTGGTCTCTTGTTTATAAAAAGTTGACAAAACTCAGAAAAAAATATATCTGTCACCTTTTAGATGCGTGCATAATATTGCTTTGAAGCTTTTTTCATGAAAAAAATACTTTTAGTGTCGCAAATAATAGCACCGCCATCGTGTGCTGCAATGAAGTCTTAACACGTATGAATGTAGCATCACTAGAGCAACTTCATGATGAGATTGACCAAAATTTTTACTCTGCGAGTTATTTTCACACAAACAAACGATCTAACTCGGCATAAACAGCCGGGAACACCGCTTAAGGACTTATCCAACAAGTTCACACCTGTTTTACGTATTGAGTCATCCTCAAAAGAGTAAAGGGTACTGGATTTCATGATTGACCTACTGATCGACTTTTTCCTTCGAAAAGTGCGATGGCTATACGAGTGTTAACGCCACCACATCCTGCGTGGCAGGGCCCTGGAAGTACGGCCGTAGAGGCTGTCGCAGCAGGGGGTATGTACGTATGTACGTAGAACTTCTTTCGCACCGTACATAGTCAACCGTGCTAATCTGGGGTGCGGGGGAAGGGCAACAAACTTAAGTGACCGATGTCAAGCTGCCCCCCTTTGCAGGTTTGCGTACGATGGGCTCAAGAGGCAGAGGCTCACGCAGCCGATGGTGAGAGACGATCAGGGCCGCCTGGTGCCCTGTGGGTGGGAGGAGGCATTGGGTCGAGCAGCAGGCGCGGTGAGTTTATCCTTTCCCTCACTTTTAACGCAGAATCCCCTTTCTCGGGCCGATTCGACTCAGGGCAGGGTTCTTCAGCTGGGCATGTGCTGGCAGCCAAGTGACGTTATTTGGTGATGCGTTGTGTCGTCGATGGAATGGCTCACAATAAAAAAAAGCAATTGTAGCCTTTTGCTTTTTTTAAAACTCTCATATAAAGAAGATAGTCTGTAAATCATGTGCTAATCTATACCCCCTGTCTCCAGGTCTCTTAATTCTTTGTGTGTATCACATGTATACAGTGTTGTTATCTTTGTCTCTCTCTTATCTGATTAATGTGTTTCTCTGATTCTGTGAGCCATTAATCTCATCAGGCCAATGTCAATGCAGTTGAAACTGCCCCCTCTTAATTATCCTCTATGTATTCCATGAAAAAAAATACCCTAATTGTCTCAGTGAATTATCATCTTGGTATAAGGCTACGTATCTACCAACCTGTATTCCTACCCACAAACAAAGACAAAGATCCTCCTTATAGCCTGACCGGACTTTTGGGACAAGTGCTGTTGGCGAGCACCTATGAAGGCTGGAACGGTACATGAGGGGAAGAGTCGCCTTTGTCTCCCAAGTGGCGATGTTTACACCGCACCAGGTACTCATTTTAGGCTGAGTCGACCTTGAGGAGGCCCAGGACCGGTTCAGATAATTGTCACTGGTGTTGGCCATGGGACGGAATTGAACCCTGGATTCGTAGCACTGCGAGCTAACCGCTACATGAACGCTCCCTACCCACACACACACATTCACCTTCCCATTTACTCACCAATCCACCTGCCTGCCCAGATACCTAGTCACCTACTTACCCACTTAGTCATCCGCCTGCCCACGCACCGGCTAATGATCCTGTGTTGTATCTCTGTGGATTCAGTTGCACGGAGTCTCTGGAAGTGAGATCGCGGCGATCGCGGGCGGAATGGCGGACGCCGAGTCCTTGGTGGCCCTGAAAGACCTGCTCAACAAGCTGGACAGCGAGAGCCTCTGCACGGAGGAGATCTTTCCCATGTCTGGTGCTGGGTGAGCTGTGGCACGGCAGAGACGCCGGCATTGACAGCGAAACGGTGATTTGGATTTTTTGTGTTAGATGGCAGCGTTTGGCCAGCCGCTTGTGTACCGTAAACACTGTGTGTGTTGGATTGGATTCGCAGCACTGACTTGCGGTCGAACTACTTGCTAAATACGAGCATCGCGGGCGTGGAGGAGGCGGATGTGCTGCTGCTCGTGGGGACTAACCCGCGCTACGAAGCGCCGCTCTTCAACACGCGCATCCGCAAGAGGTCAGCCGTCCACGAACGCCTTATCCACTCGCACCTTTCACTCTCATATCCGCTGTCTCGCTCCCTTGGCGCATTACCTCTCTCACCTCACACTCTTTACACGCTCGCTCACCAGCTCACTTGCGCCCTCGCCAGTTCACTCGCTCCGTCTCCTGCTAACTGTCATTCTCTCATATTTCCTATCCACTGTCTCGTTCGTTCAGACACGCCTCGCTCGAACGCTCTCATTCGTCCAATCGCTCCCTTGTTTGCTCCCCCTTGCCTCTTCACTCGCTTGATCGCCGCTCACCTTCGCACTCACTTGTTTACCTGCTCATTCACACGTCCACCAGCTCGCTTGCCGGACCACTTGCTCGCCAGCCTTCCCATTCACCTGGTCGCCTGTTCACAGTTTGAACTGCGTCGCACATTTCGGTTGTCTGTATGTGTCCTGGCAGCTGGCTGCACAACGAGCTGCAGGTGGCTGTCGTGGGCACCAAGGTGGACTTGACCTACACCTACGACCACCTGGGTGACTCCCCACAGGTTTTGAAGGATCTGGCCTCTGGGACGCATCCCTTCGCAAAGGTACAGGGAGCAAATGTGCGACCGTGATCAAGTCAAATAAAATACGCAATCAATCGATATCCTATTTATTCATCCAATAAACAGACTGCTAAAATGTATTCTCGCTTTTGTAGACAAAGGCTAAATGTCAGTGTACTTAAAATGTCGTACCTGTGTGGTTAGACCAAATATGCCCGACTGTGAGGGCGGGCACAAGCCGGCGTGAGTAGGTTAAACGTTGAGTTTTATAAGGGCACCACGGGGTGACCAGCCCCTCCCCACCCAGCCCCCACCCCTCCCACCCCCCACTGAGCCCCACCCTCCCCACTCAGCCCCTCCCTGCATGACGGACGGACACAATAATCCCCTGTGGGCTGGTGTAACCAGGAGGTTCCTACCAGTATAATTGTTCTGATCGGACCAATGCCAAGAGAGCCAATTGTAGTGCTCCTGCTGATCATGATGATGATGACGGTGATGTGTTATCCAGGTTCTTGCGGCTGCCAAGAAGCCCATGGTGGTGGTGGGCAGTGCCGTTCTGCAGCGCGGCGACGGGGCTGCAGTCCACGCAGCAGTGAGTGCCATCGCACAGAGCGCCCGCCTTGCCATCGCTGGCACCTCCCCCGAGTGGAAGGTCCTCAACGTCCTGCACAGGTGATGCCCAGTGTCTTCTGACCAGTTGTGTGGAGTTCGGCAGCTGCGTGCGGCTCTTTAAGGACTGCTTCGTGACGTTATCTACTCGGGGCCACCGTCTCGTATTCACGTGCATTGAGGCTCTTGAAATATTTGTTTTTTAGTTTTTATCGAATTCTAAAAAATGGCTTTTCCTGTTATTTTTTGGTTGCCGACCCCTGAGATAGGAGAAAAATAACCGTTACTTGATCATTTAGGTTTTACGTTAGAATAAAACCCTGGCTAGCTGGACTAATAGGGGGGAGCCCTGGTCTAGTGAGCTGAATGTACAGACCATGACATTCGGTGTGCTCTACAATACTGCATGTTGGTGCGAGGGTACGCCGCACGATTGATGTAATCTTCTAGGTTGTATTAAATGACAATATGTACGAGATTGCTTATTATGCTAAACAGAGCTCCATCATAAGGAAGTAGTGCTCTTGCCAATAACATTAGGGCATTCCAGCAGTATTGTTTCAACCCTATTGATGAAACCTGCAAGGTCAAAGCTGGTGGTGTAGAGTTTTGATAGCTTAAACAAATGCCGTCGGATAAGATTGGCCTGGAAATCCATATGTTATTGGGTAAAAATGCATTTTAATTGGAGAGAGACAAATTGAAGTCTCTAATTTTCCATAATTATCCACAACAGTGCCTCAAGAGTTATGCAATTTTCTAGAGAGGTGATTATTCCCAAAAACGTATTTTTGACTCTCAACCTGGTATGCGATAAAATAATTTTCGTTGTTGCACGCTCTCGAAGAGTGATTGTTGCCATCTGTTCAGAGTGGCGAGTCAGGTGGCTGCCTTGGACCTGGGCTACAAGGCGGGCGTGGACACTATCCGTAAGAGCCCTCCCAAGGTGCTGTACCTGCTGGGGGCTGATGGGGAGACTGTGACACGTGCACAGCTGCCTAAGGGCTCCTTCATCATCTACCAAGGTGAGAGAGCCCCAAACTGTGATGCCTTCAAAAATAACTTGGGGGTCATTTAAACCAAACGTCCCAGGATTTTATATACAGTAGACTCTCGATTTATCCGCGTGCGGTTTACCCGATTTGCAGATTAACTGCGCACCTGAGATTTTGACGTAAATTAATGACTCGTGGATTTTCTCTGATGCCCAAATTAATATTCTGTTATTCTTGGAAATGTTTGTTACAAGTCATGTGCTTAAACCGAGCAAATATGTGCTCGGGTTAATCCGAAATCCACATGATGGCCTCTACAGTAAGGTCCACCAGTCGCATATCTTTACAATAGTGGGCGGAGTTTGATTGATGTTGATTGACGTGGCTCTGCCGCTTTCCACTCAGTAGGCCGAGTCTTCTGCGCGCGAGTAGGAAAGTTTTATAACTGAGCACGCGCATCGATCGGATGATCGTTAGTTTTTGGCATAGAGATCCGCGGAAAAAGGATATTTTTGAAATATCTGTGGCAATCCTCCCCATTAGCACGGATAATCGAGAGTCTACTGTACCTTGTATTGTGCTACTGTTGATTTATTGAATGCTGTTTGGTGGGGAGAGGTAGGGATTGGCTCTGCGTATGTGTGATTGACCAATCACCAAATTAGCCTGAATGCTCCCGAACTCAACCTATGTCGGAAGCTAAGCAGATTTGAGCCTGGAGAGCATTTGGATGGGTGTAACTATCACAGAAACACATTTTCATAAGACTTGCGGAGCAAGTGCAGTACAGCAACATTCATCATTGAACTGCAGTTGGATACTCCAGCATGCCTTCACCAACCCCGTACTGCCCAGCGTTCAAGGGCTGTACTTGTACATGCTCGATTGGCTTTGGAATCCCAGAGCGTTATTTCCAGCACCCCATAACGCACACGCCTTCCTGTATCGACTGTGGTGAACACCCCCACCCCCTGCCCCCCCTCTGTGTCGCCATAGGCCACCACGGGGACACGGGTGCCCCCATGGCCGACGTAATCCTGCCCGGCGCGGCCTACACAGAGAAGACTGCAACGTACGTCAACACAGAGGGACGTGCCCAGATGACGCACTTGGCCATCACGCCACCCGGCATGGCGCGCGAGGACTGGAAGATCATCCGCGCACTCTCGGAGGTAGGGGCTCAGTCGGTGATGGCTCGTGGTATTGGTTGGATTGGTGAGGCTGCTGCGGTTTGGTGAGGTTCGTGGGATCGGTAAAGCTTGGAGGAGCTAGTAGGGTTGGTGGGGCTGTTTGGATTGATGACGAGGCTGGTTGGGTTTGTGAGGGTAGTGGGGATTGGCGAAGTAGAGGTGTGGTCTGAGGGTTGACTAAATTGGTGGGCTGTTTGGATTCATGTGCCTGGCGTGGCTTGTGGGAGCTCATGCAGCTGGTATGGATGGTGGGGGTTTGTGCAGGAGCTGTGTCTTGTGCAGTTGGTGTGCTTGGTTTGGATTGGCTTTGTTAGTGGGACTGATTTTTTTTATTTAAATCAGTCTGGCTGTGGTGGGGGTTGGTGTTCATATACAGTGTGCTTAAAAAAATGTTAACTCTTCTATGGGACTATCGTTTTTAATGGAAAAATAACGGATTAATTTACTGTTACATGATAACAAATGTATGCTAATAGCTTCAAAAAGTCAAAGAGTCTCCACTTGATCGCCATCGTTGTCAACACATGGCCTGGAATCTTCTCCAGGTGGTCTCCAGAGCCCAGAGGCACATTTCTTGTGGTATTGTTGCAAATTCTCAGAAGTGTTAACATTTTCTTTGAAGCACCCTGTATTGTTAGGGCCATTATATATGGCGTGTTGGTGTGGGTTTGGTGTGACTAGTGCAGTTGGTGGGAACACTGTTATAGCTGGTATAGTTGCAGGGTTGGTGTCTGGTACAGCTGGTGTGGCTGATGTGGTTGGTGGGTCTGATTGCGCTGACAGTGGCTTTAGTTGGGCCGGTGGGGTCTGGATGCTGGGTGGGATTGGTGTGGTCTCGTCAAGCCGCCGAAACCGGTGGTTCCTCTAAACCTTGCATAACGCCGGCTTCCCCGACACCCCTGGGATTGCCGTGCGGCAGGTGGCTGAGATGACCCTGCCGTACGACTCGCTGAAAGAGGTGCGGAAGCGTCTGGCCGAGGTGTCCCCCAACCTGGTGCGCTACAACGATGTGGAGGAGGCAAACTACTTCACTCAGGCGACCGAGATGGCCAAGGTCTGTCTCTGGCATTCCATAGTTCAACTCATGCACCCAAGAATAAGGATTTTGCACTTATTTTGCGCTTGAATGTAAAGCATCAATTAATACAATACATTGCTATGTATTTAAAATAAAGAATTGCCGTGTCATTGCACAAGACGTGCGTTTGTTTTATGAGTCCCTGGAAACTCGACTGAATTATAAGATCTAAGTTCAACAAAGGTTACAAGTCAGAAATAAGATGGTAAAACAATCCCAAGTTACACATGAGACGAGAGGCTGATTTGGTGCCCCTATTTCAAAGTGTGACATTTAACTCAATGCCCTGTTCTACTTTATAAAATATTAAACTGGTGAAATGTATGCCATTTACAGTTTATAGAGTCTAAATGCCCAGTGCATTTCCATCTTCTATGGTTTGATGTGGTGTTAGATGCAAACCTTAGTTTTTCTCGCATGCATTGTGTATTGAAAGTGTTGAACCATGTACATTGCCTCGTATCACTGGGGGCTGATGTTGTATTGTCTGCTTGCAGCTGGTGAACCACGAGCTGTTAAATGAGCCCCTGCAGCCTCCACAGCTGACATTGAAGGACTTCTACATGACAGGTCATTGTTGCAATGTGTTGTCGTACACTTATGAACAATAACCATAGTGCAACTGAAATTGCAGGTATTTTAGAAATAAGTTGGGCATGCATAAACACATATGGTGGTTTGTGTAGTGCAGAGCAGTATAAGTGAATTTATGCACGTGCCACACATGCTGAAACACAACTCACTCGTAACACACCATGTATATTGATATTACCACACAAGAACATTCACACGCTCCACCCATACTCACACTACTCACATGCAAACTGCATTCCACACTCACCTACTTACACACACTAATCCACATTCATGCACATTACTCACCCACAAGCATATATTCACATTGCTCACCTCCACACACAATCACATTTTTTAACACACTACTCGCCTGTATACACATGCACCCATTCACCACACATGAACCCATTCACCACACATGAACTTCTGTGCGTGCGTGTTCTTTCTCACAGACTCCATCAGCCGGGCCTCCCAAACCATGGCGAAGTGTGTGAAGGCGGTGTCGGAGGGAGTCAGGGCTGTCAAGGAGCCCCTCTGAGCAAACGACAAAAAATTGCCCACCCCAATGGGTGGACTAACCAATGGCGTCACTTGGAGATAGAGGCTGAGCCTCCCTTGTTACTCCATTGTGGGTGGATGTTTAGCTTCTTGCTAGGGATGAAAAGCTAAAACCGAGCTGATTTATTGTTTAGGCTGGTCTCCATTTTACAGCACTTGTGACGCTACTGGTTAAAAATAAGTGTGGTCCCTTCTAAAAAATATCAACCGCGCACATAGTCCAAGGTAATAACGACGTCTCTTGCATGGTCGGTCATCCACGTCTGTAAATGGCGTTAATTAAAATGAAGAGCTTTTGCTGTGACTGTGTATAATGGCACAAGTACCTTTACACTGTTGCAGAGTGCTTGGTTGTCTCCGTTATAAATAAAGCCTACTTGTCTAAACACATTCGATTCATTGTCAAGTTATTTTAAACGTTAACGGTGTACCCCAACAACGCATGACACATTGAGAGTAGAGTACTCGATAAGGGCAATTAAAATATAATTTTAACTGTATCGTGCATGGTATAAACAAAACGTGCAAATTTTTTGGGCAATGTATATTGAGCAAATAGGTGCAGAATTAAGATGAGAATGAGATAGTGCAAATCAGAGATTAGACTTCCAAATTGCCAGACCTTGCTTGAATTGTGACATAGAATCTCGAGGTGAATCATAACGTTTACCATAAAAACATGACCCTCACACCACTGAATATTATCTGTGATATTTATTCACGTTATATACAGATGTTACAGCATTTGTACACTGGAAATTCTTTACAGTCGTAAACTCGGGGATGAACATCAACAGCTTTACAGGACTTTTTAAAAAGTGTGAAATTACACAAAATCTAAACGCTACAGCAACGGTTTAATATACATTCAAAAATACACCGAGAAACACTAGTCACTGTCCCGACCAGCCTGCAATCTCACAATTTGTAAAGGCAAGTGTTTTAAGGAAGGGGGTGTATGCTGCAAAAAGTAACCGTGACCATTACAGTGTGCATTAAATTTTACGTGCGAGTTAGGTGAAATTATCAACGGGGAAAGAAAAGCTTTTTTTCCATGAATGCTTAAGTGAAGATGTCTACATCTAAAGCTTTAACTTCCCAAAGGGTGTGGGGAGAGGCAGGGGAAAAGGAGTATTTGCATTTGCTTTATTTGATTTAAAAAAATTCCATTGGTTTTAATTCAGCACCACAAACCCTTCCAAACAACACTTGCAAACCGGTGCAAAGGTTACAGGCCTCAACGTGTGACCTGCCCCTGCACCGGTGAACTTTTACCAGAGGAAGTGAAACGCTCCACGCGAAACCCACCGCGAGGCTACGCTCGTTTTCGAGTGACGCCACGTGGCGGCACCTCCACCCAGAAGTAAAACCGCGTGCGCGCCTCCCAAACCGCCGACGATTAGGTAGAATCAGTTATGAAAACCTGATTGCCATCACAGATCTGTAACGCGAAGTGTGGTTTTGGATTCTGAGTGTAGGAAAGAGGACAAAGTGCATTTTTCAAAAAAACCGAAATAAAAAAAAATCGAACAAATTAAAAAAAGCGATCATTCATGGCTTTCAGTTTCATGTAATTGGTTTGTCGCAGTAAACATGAGCATCTGAGGTTATTTGACTAACAATGCATTTGCTAGGGCCATGAAACAGGGCAATTGAAGTGGCACATACCACCACCACCTATATACACGTATCACTTGTTGAAATACACGGTGGGCTTGGAATCTTAAGAGCACAATTTCCGTTTGTGGGGCTATGGGGAAAGGGTATAAATTCAAACTATAAACGTCATGGGAACTCATCACAATTGTTAAATTGGCCGTTTCTTACCTAAAGCACAGCTGGCGTGTCTTTGAAGCAATTCACCTCTGCCCTGTATTCAATCCCCTGCCGACATTTTTCATGCCATGTCACAATTTGTAGGAAGTGTCGCAAGCTTAGATCTTTTACTTTAACACCGCGCACAAGAAATATACATTTAGTTAAGTGTCAAATAAATAGAGCAGTAAAAAAATAAATTGGCTGGTAATAGTAGACAAAACAATTGGTCGTTTTAAATCAAACTTCAGTTTCTGCCCAGTTACCACTAACTGCTTATTTCCAAAACGAAAAGTCACACGTAAAAAAAGCTTAGCACACGTTTTTTTCCTGATTATCTTCTATTCAAAAACATGTCGGCACACAGTCAACAATCACCTCATATACAAGTGTACAGCAATGATTTAAACGGACAATTTTTCGTGTTTTATTTTTCTCCTTTAAATCTGGGATCATTTAGAATAGAATACAATGCATACGATACAATCTCACTGACAAAAGACGCAAATTAATATTCCTAAGTCACCCGGCCTCGCCAATTCACAAAACGCCACGTTCACAGTGCGTCCTTAGCTCTGTGGCAATGTCTTTTGAGGGCAGTGGACAATTTATAGAATAAAAAAATAGGTCGCTTTACAGGATAATTATATTAACAGCACGACCTTTACCAGGTGAGCATTCCAATAAATCTGTATACCTTACACTTGTATTTCACCATCGACAAGCAACCACGAAGATTTAAAAATGGTGCACCTTGCGGGAGCCCTAAGTGTTCATAAGTACCACCCGGTCTTTTGCCATCGCATTGACAGTGGTGTACAACTACGAATGAAACCACCGTCAAATGAAGTTAGTGATACATATTACGACTCACTCTCTTCAGGCGTTCTCCTCCGTTTGTGAGGATCGAGTTTCCTGCTGAACGCAGTCCGGGCACTCAACGCGGGTACTTTCCTCACAGGCATTACGAGTGGCACGCACAACCAACCCCAAGCTCTCCTGCCTCTTGTTGAAAATCGGGAGAACGCAACAGCGCACCGTTCAACATGATAATTTAATGGGATAAACAAAAACAACTTTTGGGCTTGGTTTTATTTGAGATTCCACCCTTTCGAGTGTGGGCTTAATATTTCATTTGTAGTGCTTCGACTTTACTGAGATAAACACTTACAAGCACGCACAATCGCACAACTTAAAAAGTACACTTGGCTCAGAAGAGCTACTGCGTACACAAGTGTCTCGGCCTATTGTTGGGTCTCACCAGCAGTACAGCTGCTTTGTGGTCATACGCACACAACTGCTTATAACCCGTTCAATGCCCATACTGAAGTTTTAGTTGAGAGAAAACTAAACAGTTGTTACCTTTATCCCATCGTTCACAAAGCTCATTGAGAGAGAATTATGGTTGACCATTTACAAGTTTACCTACCCACGATGTTGTTTGACCATACTTCACGCGAGCTCGTGTGGGTTGGTAAAAGGTGGGGGGGGGGGGGGGCAGGATTGCTTCAGATTACCACTCGGCACTAATTTAATCTGTGGCTGAGAATCAAAATAAGGTGGCCCGGGTCACATAACCACTGCGCTTCAATTATTTCCCTTACACATTACTTTTTACATAGATACACGTGCACAGCAAAGAGCTTCTGATAAATTATTTCTGTAAGTGCTCTTCCGATATGTTTATCAGGCGGCATGTCCACATGCCAAATAGTACAATGCGGTCAAGCTGGTGTACCGAAAGGGTGGTCCTCTCTCAGTGACCAACTCACACCCATAACCCACCAGCATTTCCGGCTGTTTGTAACTGTGGCATACAGCTGGCTATGTCTGGACGTGACACAAGCACTTTGGTGTCCTAACATATTAATGACTGTCAGTGAGCCAACCGTGGGCCAAGCATTACTGGATGGCAATTAATACTATATAGCAAGAGGTGGGAAAGATTCCTGGCTTAATTGTAAAATTCCTAAAATCCAACCGTACTGCATGATGAACTTCAACACCGCTCTTATATGCGCTTCCCACACCCACTCCCTTAACCAGGCTTGCATATTATGCCAAGACAGAGTTTGGGGAAAAAATAACCCTCCCAAAACATTGTTACATTCTAAGATCCTTATACACTTTTGTAACTATAAAGTCACACACACGCACCTCGCACACACCTGTTCATCACAGCTTTCCCTGTCATGACTCACCTCACTCTGCACTCAAATGCCAACGACTGCTGCACAACTTTTCAAATCGCCTACGGAGCATTTCATCACCGATTTGCAAATCTCCAGAGCTGCATTCATTGTCCGCCAAGATCCACCACCGCTTTTTCCCCGCAAACCCAAGCAATGCCCGAGCGGCGTACGTTTCTTTATTATTGTTTTTTTTTTGCCAGTGGCTGTCAGCGTCACAGTGCTAGAAGTAAGAGTCGTTGCGTTTCACAAGCGTTCGCAGCCACGAGTCACGATTTGCTCTGCGATGGCGATGTGGGAGGTGGGGGAGAGGTGGAGGAAGGTGGTTGTGGAGGTACCGTGGGAGGCATCGCGTTGATGGTGCTGCTGACACCGCCGTCGCCACTGCCGCCCGAGTTCGACAGTGTCGAGGCGGTCGTTGAGTGAGCCAACGGTGGCACCACCGAGCATAGCGGCTGCACATCTTTGGGAATCCCACCTCGGCCACTCGACAGCTGCGAGCCAAATGCTGCGCTGAACTGTGGCAGTTTATGCTGCTGCGCAAGTGACGAGTTCCAACTTCCTGTCTGCTGCTGCTGCTGCAGCAGCTGCGCTTGAGTCTGCAGTTGCGCAGAGTTCGAAAGAGGCGCTGTCCCCATGCTGGCCACGGCCGCTGCAGTCGCCAAGTCCTGCCCAGCGCTCGTGCCGGGGGAGCTCAGCACCTGCCCGGTTGCGTGCGCCTGAGCGAGTGGCCCCAGCGGCGATGCCGCCAGCTCTGCCGTGAGCAGAGCGGGCGACTGAGCTGCCGCCCCCGTGGTGCCGCTCGCGGAGAATGGGGAATGCGTGGTGACATCAAGAGCCTGCGGGAGACCGTGCGCGCTGGTTGACGCTAGCGTCTGAACGAGGCTGGTGCCGATGGGTGCGGGGATGCCGTCCGGGGAGTACGCGAGCATTGTGGACGCCGTGCATGGCACCGCCCCGTCCTGCGCCGCCCCTGCGGCAAACGCACTAGCGTCGGTTAACACCAGCGACCCCCAGGAGGGCGACCTCTGCATTACCAGCCCGGCGGTGGTGGTGGTGGTCACAGTGCCGGGGGGTACGGACAGCGACATGGAGGGCGGCAGCGAGTGTCCCAGCATGGCCTGCGATTCCTCGCTCCCCGTAAATTGGGTCGTGACAGCGACCGTAAGTCCGCTCACCGACGCCGGCTCCTCGCCACTGTCGATGCCAAGGAATGGTGACGGCACTCGCTCGCTGCCGAAGAGGGAACTATCCTGCAGCGGCGACTGCACCGATCGCTCACCGCTTCCATCACCGACAAAACCGGCTGGTATCAGCGGCGGAGGTGTTGACGACGATGCTTGACCGTCTGGCTTAACAAGCAGCGGCCTTGCGGGCAGGAGCGGCAACGTCTGGAAGGACGGCATTGGTGGCGAAAAGTGCGTGATGACAGACACACCGCCACAGTCCTGCTGATGTTGGTGGTGGAGCTGCTGGTGGGGGTGGTGCTGATGGTGGTGGTGGTGGTGCTCCAGACCCAGGCTCAGCTGCGTTGCCGCGGCCGCCGCCGCCGCCACGACGGCACCGGCGCTGCCGAAGTGCTGCTCGAGGTCGAGGGCTGAAAAGGAGTCGGCGGCGATGGTGCCGCCCAGCAGCTCGTGCAGGTCGGGGTTGAAGGAGCCGAGGTCGTCGCTGGGCACGAGCTCCTCGTCGTCGTCCATGGAGCCCAGGTGCTCGAGGGAGGTGACGGCGTGCGATGCCGCCACCAGCGCCCGCTCCAGCGCCTCCGCCTCCTCCTTGGTCGGGAGCAGCTCGCCATTCTTGCCTGTGCCAAGGGACGAGAAATGTGTCGGGTGTTTTACAGATTCACCGAATCTTCACTCAAACTAGATCGTTATATTCGTAACACTGCTGTCGTGCAATGGTTGGCAACTGGACCGAATTTAATCTCCTGGTACGGCATTAAAACATTGGGCTAGTTTCCCGAATCCCCCCCCCCCTCTCCCGCCCCGCCTGTCTACCTACCAAATGGATACACCACGGTAAGTCAATCGGCAGGTCTCGCCGCAGTGGAAGAGTCGAACCAATGCCCTCTAGTGGAGGCAGGGCCTTGTGGCAGCAGGGATGCACTGAAAATACGTATTTAAAAATCGAATTGTGTGCAAGAATCAACTATTTATGGCCCATCAGATCTCAGCAGCAGAGCAGAGCTGAGCATGGATAGTGCTTGGCCAGGTGACCACAGGCAGTGTAGCAAAATCCAATGATGTACTGTTTGTACTATGCTCAAATGCCTATGCTCACCACCTTCGTACTGCACTGGCCAGCATGGTGAAATATGTTCAAACAAACATACACCGCCGCAGTGGTCAGATGTTAACTACCTCGCCTCGTACACCGGAGCTTCTGGTTTCGATCCCGATCCAGATGCTTGTATATTTGGAGTTTGCATATTCACCCCGTGGTCATAGTTTGGGGAGGCCTTGATCCCGTCGTGAGATAAAAGGCTGCAATCTTTTATTATTATAATGGCGTGATAGATATTGACCTAAACCCGAGAGAATGCATTGCATTCACGAGCCTCCTCCAGCTCAGTGCTACCTTCGAAGAGGTCGAAGTCGTGCAGGTCCACGTGCAGCTTCGGCAGCACCTCGTCCAGGTCCTCTTGGTTCAGCTCCAGCTCGTCCGACAGCTCCGGGGCGATGTCATCCTCCTCCACGTCTCCGCTCACCGGGCTGTGGGGGATCCGCGGGGTGGGGTGTGGGAGAATGGTGCCGCGGTGGCGAAATGTTAACCACCTCGCCCGGTATACAGGAGGTCGTGGGTTCGAACCCAACCCTGACGCCTGTTGTACATTTGTAGTTTGCGCGTCTCTCTCCCTGTGGTCGCGTGGATTTTTCTCCACGTTCTCCGGTTTTTCCCTCCACATTAAGAAACATGCGTTGAGAGTATTTTGCTACTATAAATTTATACATAAGCCGCTTTGTTGAGCTATTATGTATGGCCAGGTCACTTCTGAAAAAGAGCTATACAGCTAAGTGGGCCTTACCTGGTAAAATAAAAATTGTTGAGTATTTTAGTTTATGAGAAGTAGTTGCAGTAAAGGTGCAGCCCTGCAATTATCACTGTTGGCAGAAGGATCTCACGTCAGAGGGAGCTCCCAGGAGCCCTCCAAATGTAATTTTAGTCTACTCTGCCACACTGGCCAGATGTCTTTGAAGGTGGAAGTACCCACACTTTACCCCGCCACATGCGACCTGCCGGTCGACTGCGGTGCACACACTTATACTGCGGGGTTGACACAAGGCCGGGAGATTCAATAAACTTGTCCACTGTTTCATGTTCCACTCCAGGAGATCAAATCGAACCGGCCCCCCCTCTGGCTTGCAAGTCCAGTGTGTTAATAATTACACCATGGCAGTGGCAGATCTTAAATGCAAATAGATAAGAGGAGGGGGGGGGGGCGTTGATTCACACCTAACTATTTACCATGTGCTTTAATCGCAAGCTTGCCGTACACAACGCAAAGGGAACCATAGCAGGAAATATTAATTCATCACTGTTTAGTGTTAATATTTATTGCAATATTTTTTTCCATTGCAGGGGTGGAGTGGTAGTTCCGTGGTTTACACACTTCAGATGTACTTCTACGGCTGTCTGGAACACTCTTCCTTAGGATATTACGACGCCACTGGAGTTATGCACTTTTAATCTAGATTCAAAACTCGTTACTTTAGAACTGCTTTTGTGTTCAGTTTGCCGTCCTTCCTCCACACCTTTGATTAGCGTGGTTGGCTACGTACAGTGCGAAAGAAGTTCAACATGCAACCACAAGTAGCAATCGATAAAAAAAACACTAATTTTGACGCTCCGGGCAAGGCGTACCTTAGGCGTGCCACACAAGGAATACTAATGTGGGTGCTTCGGGCAAAGGGGTACCTTAGGCGTGCCACACAGGACGGCTCGGTGACGAAGGGTGTGGAGGGTGGCGGAGTGGCCGCCGGGATGCACAGGTTGCCCTGCGGCTCTGCGGGAGGGATGGGTTTCTGGGGTCGCATGGTCGGGCGCCGCCGCTTCTTCTTGTGCTTCTTGCTGAGCGCCGGCGGTTTTGACTTCTTACGTGGTTTCCGCTGCTGCTGTTGCTGTTGCTGCGCCTTCCGGCTCCAATCTCCGCGTAGGAAGTTGTCCTGGGGAAAGATGAAAAGCTTTTTTTTAATGATTTATTCATGTTGTTGACGTTTTAACTAGGATCAATCAGGCATGTGAAGATGCGTCGCTTTGTCGTTTGACATTATTACATTAACGATGCTGGCCAACATATAAATGCATCTAACTGTATTTCCGCACCTCCGATTAGTACGATTGGCTACGTATGGATCTCCAGATATCGTACAGAAAAACAGGGCATGCCTATTACAGTGAAAAAAGGTAGTTGCTAATATCAATTTGGTTGACGAAAATTAGAATGAAATCATGATACACATACGGTGAGGTGAAGTAGACAAAAGTTGCGACATTAAAAATATCCACCAAACGTAAAACTCCTATAAGTTAGTTGTGTTTGCATTCACTTTATTAAAGGGTCAGTAGACAATCCGGACTATCATTTCATGCAAGGTTATCATCGGATTGACGATTAAGGATGGTTCGAACATCTGCATCGTACGGATGAGTACCACCATTTGCAAGGCAGTGAACTGAAACATGGTGAAGAGAACATAGGACCACAGGAAGCAGAGAGATTTGGAGAGATACGATCGACAAAGATTTAAAGATAGGATGATGTGGCCAAGTCGACTGAAGACTGCACATTGTTGCAAAAAGCTGTTGCCCGACGTGTAGTACAGCACAGGACTCGGCTTAAGGCGTTACATTGAGTCCTCGTTACAAGCAAACAATGATACACATCGATGTAAATATAATTTTGTTTTTATAAAGAACATTTATAATTATAAATGACAGGAACCGGAAAGAGAGGAAGACCTTACAGAGAATGGCTTTATGACATTAGAGATTGGTGCCAGAAAGATGTGGCACTACTTGAGCATGATTGGCACGAGGCGAGAGTAAAGTGGAAACAAATGAGGAAACGTGCAGTGTACACCTACGGGCTATCTGCCCATGGGTCGAGACGACGATGATGAATGACACAAATGCATACAGGCGGTCGCGAAAACAACGATGGTGGCGGCGACGGAAGAATGCTGACCATGCTGGCGGGCCGGGGCCGCGCACGCACCATTTTCTTGGCGTGCTCCTCGCACAGCGGCGTCTGGTGCACGATGTCGAACACAGGCACGGAGCACTGCTGCCCGTCGGCGAAGCGCGCTGTGCAGCTGGAGAAGAGCCGCTGCGAGTTGCTGCACAGGATATCTGGGGCCCGCCACGCGGTTGAGCGTCAAGGAGCCAGCCCGCTTGCCGAGATGACGGCGCTAAAACGTTCTGGCGGAGCGTGCGCCAGTTAAATTAAAGAGGCTTCAGAGTTGCCCGCCCGTCGAGTGGTTGCAGTGTGGCCGCGTGTTAAAAGGGCGATGATGTAATCGCGTGATACAGTGTTGCTGTGCATTAAGATGCTGTAGTGGAGGTAATGTTAAGCGGCGGGAGAGTTGTGGTAAGAGGCTGGAGCCCTTCGATGCTAGGAGGGTTGTGACTTAAAGCAGCAGTCTGGTGACCACCTGTGTCAAGGGGATGTACTGTGACTTAAGCAGCTGCAATGTGTATAAAGAGGTTCTAGCTGTAGAGTGAATTTAGCAGCTGTATTGTGACCAACTGTAAATAATGTGAAGAAGCGAAATGTATGTGTAGAGGCTGGAGTCTGACTGTATGGCTGTGTAGTAGAGGCGGTAGTGTGACTATTTTAAGTGAATGTATACATAGACTTTCTAAAGAGATGTCATGTAGCTATGAGCCAAGAGGCTGGATGCACCATAGACTTTCTAAAGAGATGACATCTCTTTAGAAAGTCTATGTATACAGTCACTTAAAATAGTCACACTACCGCCTCTACTACACAAGTTTGTACTTAAGGCCGTGCTCAAGGTGCCAAGGATACGCTGGAAGCAGTGCAGGCTGTACGGCAGCGTCGGGCTCCTGCACAGCTGGCCCTTGACCTGCACACAGCACTGCCCGGCTCGCACGGTCTCTGCAGACGCCGCTGGTGCCCTGTGCAGAGTTAGCAGGGGAAGAACTCCTGAAACTCACATCTTTATGCCAAGGACTGCATACGTCAACATTTTTTAATTGTATGAATAGAGTACACTTTGGTTCCTTGAACACCTGTGTGCGAATGCATTCCAATTCCTTTTCAGCTTATCTTCGTGGTCATTTTGATTATCCGAACCGAGCCAATGAAATAGTAAGGAAAGAGAAAATTATCAACAAACGCAAAACGGTTCCGTACGCACTCTTTCGAAGCAAGGGGATGCGTCGCGGGCTGCTGGTGCAACGTCGCGGGCTGCTGCGTCGCGGCGGGCTGCTTGTCCCGGCGCAGTAACACTGCCACGCCGTCCGGGCACACGGCTGCCCCGCGTAACAAGGCACGGCTGTGAGCGCGTAGGTGCCTCTGCCTTCGCGCCGCCGCTCGCTCCACGCGGCTCAGCTGCAAGTAGCGATGCCGCAGCGAGCTGTAGAGCGCCGCTATCCGCGTCTCACGGTCCGAGCCTGTGCACTCCGACCTGACGCCACGCCGGCCAAGCCAACAAGTGAGCGGACTATAAAAATAACGTCACACCGTCGTCGCCTTCCAAGTTCCTACGACGAAGTATCTGGATCGTGCCCGATCATCACATTGGAGGCCAAGCAAGGATTGAACCTGAATGATACTCGTATGGCTAATTACAAGTCTAATTAGGTGTTTGGAGGTTGCTGTTGAGCTACATTGTCAGCAGAGGCAAAAGCAGAAAAATAACATTGTTGTACTGTATTAAGCTCCAATGTCTATGTTCCTCACACTTTACCACACTGCATATGGGCAAATAACCCCTACGTCTAAGTCTGCAGAGGCCCTCCTCCAGCAGTGGATTGACAAATAGGGCTGTACAATTTCGATTCTGTCTACTCGACAGACCTGCTCTCCACCTGAGGATGGCTGCTTGCGTTGTGGCCGAAACGTCGTGAGAATTATTTTATTATGTTTTATTTTTATTATTTATTATTTCCATTCTACGCGACTTTACCGAAAGAACCAAGAAGAGGGCTGTACAATGTTGCGAAGAAGCTTAAGACGCCCCTAATCAACAGCCATGCAGCTAAATTTCGATTTAAAGCTTACGTGACTGCAGGGATTCATCTTCTTGGTTCTTTCGGTAAAGTCACGAAAGAACCAAGAAGAAGAGCCATGCAGCTATTACGAAGTTTACTGCGAGTACCAATATACAATGTTTTGGCTGATAACTTATAACTTGCAACTATTGAACACTCTTGCAGTCAAGCAGCACTCCGTACAAAACACAATTAACACCAAGGCATCAGATAAAAAACAAAACTTCAAGTTTAAAGATTAACATGAGAACTAAAGGCCCTTTTATGGATATATGCACATAAGCAGTGGGTTTCCTGTTGTATAACACAAACATGAAGCTTCATTTAAAAAAGGACTTCAAAATCGCAATCATTATTTACAGATTTTTTTTTGTTTAATGTCCTGAATGTTATCCTGATTGTCCTGTCAGTGTTATGAGACAAAGCATCTATTTGGATCTCACACAGAGCAGTGCAACCCTTCTTCGTACAGATCTGCCCTAAGAAGCAGACATCACAAAGCTATCTCTGAGATCACTTCAAGTGATCTCTGTTGCATAAAACGGGGCAGCACTTTCACACCGGCCCTGTCACAATGTCAATGGCATTACTGTCAAACAGATAATTTTTCTCAAAGATGGAATTGAACCAAATCAAGTGCAGAACCAAACGTGATGTTAGGGTCTTGATTTGAAGCTTTCGTGACTGCAGGAAGCCATACTCTTTGGTTCTTTCGATAAAGTCACGTAGGTAGAAAATTAATAGCTCACGACGTTTCGATCGCAACACAAGCAACCGTCATCAGGTGAGACAAAAACAGCAGAAGAACTGCTGACGCAGGAGAAAGAGCTGTGTTTGTCTCACCTGATGATGGTTGCTTGTGTTGCGATCGAAACGTCGTGATCTATTAATTTTCAATCTACGTGACTTTACCGAAAGAACCATAGAGTAGTGATGTTAGGGATTGTTTGTGCGGTTATTGATGTTCGGGTTGACATCAACTCACTATGCTTTGAGAAAACAGTTTAAACACAGATGGCTGTCTGGATTTGAACCCAGAATCCCAACAGTGCCAGCTCAGCACTCTGACCTGTGTGACTTGGGCTTTGTACGTTATCAGGATTAATTGAACCTTGAAAAGCTTGTGGCAAGTTGCCTTTGTTTAAAAGGCCACACAATGACCACTTGGCCGTAGTAGTGTACACATTGCTCTCTCCGTGTTTAGTTTATTGTCCTTCCTCCGCACCTCCGATTAGCACGGTTGGCTATGTACGGTGTGAAAGTTCAACATACATACATACAAGGAACTTGGAACTTGTATGTATGTGGTCTGCAGCAATGCGAGCAAGCTGAATTACATTGGTTTACCTGTAGAGGACTCCATGTTCACTGAGCCGGTCTTGGTGGGATAGCCACGTTGATTGGCAAGGAAGTACCTTATCCTCATCTTCACTGCTTTCATCCTCTGACCATTCACAGCCTGCATGGGAATTCATAAAAAAAAATGGGTTAACCCATAAAGGTGTGAACACAAAGTGTACAGTGTATCTATACTTAGCAAATAAATCAGTCTATCAAGTAGCCCATGCTTCTCCTTGCTAACAATGGCTATGATCATCATCCTTTTGACCTGATTGTAAAGCGATTCAGTAGCGCCCATAGGCTATTAAGTCAATGACGAAAGTATCCATAAACAGTTAATTCACAGCACAAAATTGGCAAAGCTGAACCGTAAATGGAAATTATTGACGTTTTTCAAAGTAATTGTATAGTTTTCAAGCATAAACGTCAATCAATTGAAAGTGGTCAATGATGATGATGATTGATCCATGCTGCCTCAGTCCAAGCATGAAGGGGGGGTTACCCCCTAAAAAAAAAACCCACTCCTGAAGTGCAAACATTGAACAGCATGGGAAGCAATGCTCGTCTGTTAGCGCTGTCCCCATCCTGGCAATTAATTAACTCCTGTAAGGCTGGATCGTGCATTCCTGACACAGTTTGTGATTTTTGATGGTTTCAGTGATGCTTTGTTAGTATATTTACTTAGCTTTTATGTGTTCTATAATAAATAAAAAGTACCATAATATTACAAGGTGCAAACAGTATAAAAGTAGTTTTCACGGAAATAATGGGGTTTTGTTTAGAAAACTGCTACAAAGTACCGTGGGCATCCCACTTCCCTGAATTTGCCCCGGTATAGAAAACCGTGTAGCCTCACTTTTGTTCCCGCAATTGACCAAAAATTTGAATTAATTTTGCGGGGTTCTCGCTTGTAGTTGGACCACAGTCCGAGTGGAGGGGGACAATGAAACCTTCTGACGTACCTCGACTGTTTTCCATAGCGACAGAGCCTATGGGCAGAACAGGGTGCCAACCTATATGTGTGTCTGTCTCCTGCCCTTCAGATATCCTTTGCTTCTAAAAAGGAATGTTCTCAGATGTTGCCACACCACCAAACTCGAGCTGAGCTCATGGCCAAAAACTCAAAAGTGCTGGAATTTGCTTTACTTGACTCTAAGTTGAGCCCAATGAGTCACTATTATTTATTTTGCAATGAAGAGGTGGAAAAAAATAGCATATGCCTGAAGACTCGTTTATATTTGACTGGATAAAGGATATTATTCTTATTTAATATCAGGTGAGGTAGAATGATGGCACAGTGGTTCAAGCACTGCACGATTAACTCAGTGACCAGAATTACATTTCCAGCCATAATCTAGTGATATCTGAACTGGTCCTGGGCCCCAATTCCATAAACCCGTGCTAAACAGCTTGAAGTCTGGTAAAAACAAAACAATGAACACATATCAGAAAGTGGGGAGGTTTTCATCCGGCATTAGATAGACAAAGGCTGCAGATTATTATTGTATTAATAAGGTGTAGTGCAAACAAACACCTCCCCATACCTAAGTGTGTGAACAGGTCTTGATCGAGCAGCTTCCGCTGTCTGCTCCGGTACAGCAACCGGCGCAGTGCTCGACTTCTCTCACAATCCGGTTGGGTATGCCATTGGGCCGCCCTGGCGGAGGTATGCGACGAGGACGACGATGACGACGAGGACGACGAGGCGCTAGCAGCGGCACCAGTGGTGGCTCCTCCCAACGCTTTGCCACCAGCCACCCGTGACTCGGGGAGCGTGAGTGGTACAAGCCCCCTCTGTGCCGCCGTTGTGGTGCCCACAGGAGTCCTCGACAAACAGCGCTCCCCGTGCCGGTGTACCATTGGCAGGGGCTGGGCCGACCTCAAGGACGCGGCGGCACCATGAGCCTCAGCTTTCGCCGGAGGCGGCGTCCCCTTGTGTGGCTTTAGGTGGCCCGGTGAAGAGGCCGAGGTATTTATAATCGCACCGCTGCCGCAAATGTCCTTGACCTCGCCGTTTTTTTCGGCCACAAGTCTCGAGCGACTCCCGCCGCCGCTAGTGCCTATCGGTGGCCTTCCCTGGAGCTTGCGCTTCACGGCGACCTTTCGAAGGCCATGCTCGTCGTCTTCGGGAAAGGCGAAGGGGTCATCCGTCGGGGCTCCAGCTGTGGCTGGCGCCATATGAGGGTGGTGGTGCGGGGATTGGCTAAGCGTCTGCCACGCCGGCGTGAGCGCGTGCAGGCCGTTTGGCACCCGCGTAAGCACCGGCGGGGCCTCGAGCTCGGCGATGTGCTGCACCACGCGCTCGCGCTGCCGCTCCCTCGGCTCGTCCAGCTGCTCCGACTTTTTCTTCCGCTCTTTCTTAGGCACCAGCCCCAGAACCTGCAGGTGACTGTTGCAGTACCTGAATGAAATACAGTTGCGTGCACATAGCAGCTTTTTTTATGAAGCTAAGTAGGTATGAGCCTGGATAGTACTGTTATGAGAGTATGCCAGAGATTACCACGTGCTGTAGGCTTGGGCTGCCAGTTTCCCCCCACACAGCGAACAGATTTATTGAACGAGTCAAATATCCCAACGGAGGACTGCCAGAAAGAACATTATAAGCTCTCCTGGATACATTTTCTTAGTTAAACTTAACAGGGATTTGAATCAAGATTTGTTTTTACTTCCTTTCAGTTTCAAAATTCAAATATATTGAATGAAAACACTGCACTTGCTACTTTTATAAGCCAGTGCATCCCGCCTACAAAACACGCACAAAACTCCAAGCCTGATAATTTCCTTGACGAACATCTACATCATCAATATTATGTTCAAAGTGTTGCACCAGCGAAAATTAAGCCAGTGTTTACAAATGTATGTTTTCACCCAAACTATGTTACACATCAACAAACCTATCTACAAATAAAAGCGTTCTATGCTAAACCAACATTCAGATTTCCAGCAAAGCACAAAGTGAATGTAGAGTTCAAATGCAGGGACTCACACGCGATCTTCCGCTTTAGGGATGGGGTTGGTACAGCGCTGGTTGTTGTACTTGGCCACATATTGGCACTGCTTAAAGGGGGCCGTCTTGTCCTCCAGGACGTGACGGATGCAGAAAGCGTAGCCATTCAGCCGGCGCTGCTTGCAGAGCTTGGGGCTGTACGAGCACAGCGGCTTGTTGTCGATCTCCGAGAAGTGGATGTGTTTGCCCTCATACATCACGCGTCCCGGCTTCCCACGATCATCGGCTGCAAAGACATCACAACACCATCATCACCACCACCACCACCACCATTAATAGAGGTATAACCGATTCACTCTGTATCTATCATTCACTTCCCCAGCAATTAAATTGTGATTCATGGCCATATTCTTTTGCGGAGTCCAACTAAAGTTTAAAGTCTTTATGAATTATCTCTGTCCTTTGTAACGGGAGAGCACTAACTTCCGAAAAGATGAGTCAATATAAATGAAACTGCATGAAGTTGAATTACTATTCGGGACTTAACCTATTTAAAAAAATCTACGAAATCGAACAAAGTGTGCCCCAAAACTTGGAGACTCAAACATGGACTGACTAGTAGCTGTTGGCATTCATCTGCTATTTCAATATGTCCATGGACAAAGCGTTTTTCCAAACTTGTTTAAGCAGAGGTGAACATGTAGCATACTCGAGCCCCTACAGGGGTCACACATACAACATTCACAAATAATAATAATACATTGTTATACAAACAACTTGAAATGTGCATCATAACCTTAAGAGATTTTATATATATCGATGCATTGTTACCGCAATAATTGTCATTGTGCGTTGTATGCTACATTTTGCCTTAATTCGAATTTTGGATTGATGGAACTGTTCCCCAACTAGAAACAGGAAGACGGCATTTCGACCAATCAAGTCCCCCCCCCCCCCCGGGTTACCACATTCTTTTCACTTACACCAAATGTTGGTAACTATTACAATATGTGTCAAGGACACTGATACACAATTAAACACACTTGAAACTGTTCCAATGGATTACGGATATGTATATTATTGCAGAGTGCATTTTTTTTTCTAGAATAGGAAGAAATATCCGAGTTCGAATGAATTCAAACTGATGAACCCTAAACCGATTTACAAAGTACAGTACAAACACACAAAACTATCATATTTTTGACGTTTATGAAATAAAAATATACGCAGCAGCGATTACGTTGGATATGTTATGTTTAGTAAGTCTAAAACAATGGAAAACATTCTCAAGTTGACAATATTATCTGATGTATACAAGTGCACATAATATTTATATCTCACATCCTGTACCTGGACATTGCTCTATTGTTTAAAAACAAGAGTAAAATGTGAAAATACAGCAATGTTACGTCAATTACTGACACAAACGTCAGGAATAAATTAGTGCGGTGTTGTTTCAACACAATTTCAAATCTACTTCTATATTTCTAATTTACTGTATTACACGTGGGTGCAAATGGGATCTGGAAGCCTTAAAATTTAGGCTACCTTTTAATGACGAAAAGGCTAAAACAATCATCATATAAACTAAACAGCCGCCGGTTGACACTTGTATACAATTTTAAATAGCCAATTAATACAAGTTTGGTTTAGTCACAAAATACATGGAGCTTATGGCTCACTCCTTGTCATTATAGTAATTAATAACATAGGGATGTGTGATTAAGTGTGTCAAGGGCCAACATTTCAATAGCAATTTATCACATTTTCTTAACGAGTGACCACAACATGCACGGCCGCATGTAATAATGCGTGCGGTGTTATTAATTGTATAAACAGCCGACAATTAACAACGTAACTATTGAGGCTTGAAGCTTGAAGCTCACATAAACGTACACGCTAAGATCCCCAACAACCCCCAACAACATCCCGACTCTCATTCAGCACCGCTCTCTCGTGTAAACTCGCACAGAACCGCGCCAACATATCGGCGGAGCTGCAACTACACGAACCCAACGTAAAATACAATTGTTGAAGCACAACGAGACATTTCTAAACCATGAGATATTTGGCGAGGCAGGCACAGGTGATCAGGCAGGCAGGCGGGCCCTTGGCTATTTTTAAGCGAGAGGCGCCTTCGAATCCAACCAGAGTCTGGTGGTGCAAGCGACTCGTTAGCCCCGGGGACACGGGACAAGGTTGCGACAAACAAAGGCGAGGAGGAGAGAAAGAGAGATGAGACCATCACCAGAAGCGCGGGCTCCCGTCCCATCACCACTCGAGCCCCGAGGAGACGCAGCCACTACAAACCCCACAAGCGCTAGGCCCGAGTTGCTAGGCTGAACAAAATTTTACAAACCACGCAACGCCCCCGGGGCGTCTCGCGATAGCGAAACGCTCGCACGCTCAATGTAAAAGGGCGAGCAAAGAGAAACGTATTTGCCCTCAGAGCGTTGTCGATTTCCGAAACGACAAAAAAAATCGCCTCCCCCCCTCACCCCCCGCCCCGCGGCCCGTGTGACTCAAGGGGCCTGGTCACAATGTAGAAGCCTGCGTTCTTGCCTAGCGCTGCGACCCGGGCAGTCCCCCGCGCAAGCTCGCTAGGAAATGTCGAAGGCTTCGGCCTAAATAGTCACCTACAACCCCCGCATGACCCACCACCTCCTCAATCGCGGCCGTTAAACCGCGGGCTCCCGCAGCCTGAGGCTCGGAGTCGAAACCCTCCCCCGGTTTTAGCGTCGCGGCGGCCCCGGGGAAACTCGAAGCGAGGCCGCAGACCCGAATGGTAGCACCCCACCCCCCCTCAACTCCCGCGCGAAGCCTACGGCCTTGCCTAGCATCCACGGCCGGACCAACTCCGCCTACGTCGCTAGGCAACACCGTAGGTCGCGGCCTAGTCGCCACCCCCCCCCCGCCGTTCTTCGCTATTCTGTTTTTTGTTTGTTACATTAGTAAATTATCACCCGATTTTAACCCCCCCCCCTCAAAACAATTCCATTAAAACGAGCACGTGAAAGGCATTCTTTTTTATTTTAAACCTTTAGTTCGCAAGAAGCTTTGTCTTTAAAAAAAATCTACCTCGACGTTTGTGTTTTTTGTTCGCCGTTCGTGGTGGTGGTTGTGGTCGTGGTTACCTCCTCGACGCGTCGGGCTCCTCGGGAGGTCTCGCCTCAGCCGTGAGAGCGGCGAACGGCCGACAAGGCGGGCAACATCGAGGATTCGGTGCGATGCCTGCGCGTGTAGGTTTTGTGTGCTTGTTCGTGACGGAATGCGTGGGTTTGTTGTGTAATATATTTATATATTTAAATCACGAATTCTCTTCCTTGCTGGTTCCGCCGCCTCGGCCTCCGCTGTCGTCGTCTTCCGCTGTTGCCAGATCCAGGGGATAAAAAACCTCTAAAGTGAGAGGCACAAACTGAGTGTGTTTTGTAAATGTTGTGATATAAACTTGCAATATTTTGCCCGAAATTGTTTAGATTTTGTATGTAAATACGGCAAAAATTTTAAGTGCAAAGAGTCAACGAATTAATTGCAATTGACAGCATTGTTTTAAAGCTGGGGAGGGAAGCCCTTATATTAAAACGCTTAGGACTAGTTTATAAACAATCCACTTGTAAACTTTGTGATTTTTTTTAGCACAGACTCATACACCTTTACATCCATAGGCCAAATGCAGTATTTTCGTCTTGTAAAACTGTCTCAACCCTTTCATTAAAGCACCGTAATTGAAACGATAACAATGATGAAAAAAAATCAAAGTGCATCCATCCACACGGAGGTGCTTCATGTATTAGGTATAGCCCTGTGAGCCATTCGGCTCTTGAATCGGGTGCGACCGCAACAAACAAAAAGCAAAAACATGAACAAGAAAACATCTTAAAGTGACTATGTGCAAACAGAAAATCCAAGAAAAACAGCAAAATATTGCAGAAAAGGCACACCAACACTGTGTGCAAAAATCCCAGTGGGATGCAAGTCAAACAACAACAACCACGAGACAACTTAGATTAAGGCCATCAGTCAAACTCTGTACTACAACAAACAAACATGGCCAAACCAAAAAACTTTTCGAAAATCACCAAAATAATGCCATATGAACTGTGACCGAATTTTCACAATAAACGACATAAACAACATGTACCACCAAACTCTGCTTGACAATACAAATACAACAACCATCTGTTGTAGTTCGCCAAACGGGTTCAACTCTCATTAAAGAAGAGGTCCCGTGTAGCCTCAGGAATCGAAGACTTTTCCACCACTCTTTATTGCATATCTGTCAACCCACACGGTTTACCCCGTATTCCTTTACAGGGAAATTGAGATTCCAGGTCCATATGGAGTACAGCCGTTTCAATACGGGCAACATTTTTTTTGTCTATTTATTTGGGTTTCTCCCTTGTGATCGGACTTTGTAGGATGAACGTTGAGGTTTATAAGGGTACAAGGTGACCAATAAGGTCTGAATTGGTCTATAATAAGGTATGGCACTGATAAGGGGTTGACAGGTATGTTATTGGATTTCGTGGGGATCCTCATGGTGGACTCAAAGAGACAATGTAGGCGTATGTATGTTGAACTTCTTTCACACCGTACGTAGCCAACTGTGCTAACAAAGTAAAACACAAAAAGCAGTTCCAAAGGAAAGAGTTTTCAATCGAGATTTTAAAGTGCATAGGCTCCAGTGGCTTCTTAATATCGGAAGGAATAGCGTTCCAGACGGCCGCAGAAAGACTGGAATATTAATATTTTATATTAATCTGGAATATATTTAAGACTGTAATCTTAATCCCGTTGTCAACTCGCTGATGGATGTATAAGTCATGGGAATTGAAAGCTCAAGGCTGCTTAGCTTTAGAGACAGAATATGATACAGGTTGGAACAACAGTTCCACACTGCCCACCAGGGATTATTTGTCTGTCGTGCACGGCCCCGCCCCACCAGAGCCATCCCATTGGCTCGGGGGCGCCGACCAATGGGAGCGGTGGGTTGGGGTTGGTAGAGGGGGGAGAGGGTTAGTGGTGGGGGGGCACCACCGTGACTCGGGTCAATGAGGAGACGGGCGATGTTTCATTCACAAAATGGAACTGGGGGAGGGTGGGACTGGGTTGAGAGGGGAGGGTGTGGAGGAGCTGGGTGGGGAGGGAGGGGCTGGGTGGGGAGGGTGGGGAGTGGCTGGGTGGGGAGGGGCTGGGTGGGGAGGGTGGGGAAGGGCTGGGTGGGGAGGGTGGGGAGGATGGGGCTGGGTGGGGGGTAGGAGGGGTGGGGCTGGGTGGGGAGGGGCTGGGTGGGGAGGGGCTGGTCACCCCTCAATGGATAAAGGAAGGGCATTTCATTCCAGTTCTTCACACTGATAGCGAACTCGGATACAAACATTGATTGCAGTAAAATTTGCTTAACACTCATGCGAACTCAACAAGACGCAACGGTGAACCTAATATGTTGCGTTAGATTAACCATGACAAAATTAAGGCAGATCGTTTGTATCATAATGTTTTCAAAGAGTAATGGATTCTGACCGACCAAAACTACATATCGTCACCATGGTTGACACACTTGTGGTGCCACGACCGCGGAGCAACTCCGCAAGTGCTGCGACTCTCTCCCGGCCCTTGCACTAAACACACACCCACACGCAGCGTACACACGTAGTGTCCTGGTGGGGGATTGCCGGGCACAACGAGTTTTCATCCAAGTGCCCCTAGAGGGGAAGTTCCATGGTTTCCCAGTGCCAAGAGATTGGTCGCCCCCCCCCCCCAGGACAAATTACATTGCGGCCCCCTAAATTGGCTTAAAATTGTATGGGCGCACCGAAGCTCACCGGGCTAACCGCAATGAGACGCTCACAGCACTGGGGAGGGGCCAGGGTGAAATATTACTCGAGCAGCGCAGACGAGGAGGTGGGAGGGAAACCCCTGGGCACCCCGCGGCCGGGCGCCACTCAGGGCAGACGGGCTGAGTTAGGGGTAAGGAATGCGGGCGCGCACCATTGGCTGTGCAGGATAATGTCACGTAACCCTGGATTGTCTAAATCCCAGGGCATAAAAAGGGGGAGCCGAAAATGGCTAAGTTAGTTCTGATCTCCAGCCTCTTCGAGCCGCCCGCAGCGTTCGTGAGACTCCAGCGAATGCCGCGATAGGAAAAGTCTCTTCTGTCTTCGTCCCTCCGCCTCTCTCCGCGTCCGTGCGACGCCGTGATAATGGCTGCGAGGTAAGTAAAAGGGCGTGTGAATATTTGGGGAATTTGATCGTGATAGGATAGGTGCTGCTCGCATAATATTTCCTCCGGGCAGTGCAGCGTTTTTATGCGCCGTGAATAAACGTTAGCACAGATTATCGGTGCAGTGTGATTTGTGTGTGGGTAGAACCTCGGTGTGGTGTTGGTAATTTGAGTGTGTGAGGCGCACGTGCATTAAAAACATAAACGGCCGCCGACGCTTGCGCGTCCGTGCCGCGCGAGTATTAGGGCAGGGTGAGTTAAAACCGCTCGCTGACGACGCGCGCGTATTTACGCACGAGCGTGTGTTAAATGAATCGCCTGCAGGTGTGCCCGCGTTCGCGCTGCCACTTTAGAGCGCCTCTTAACGCGGGTAGCGGGGTAGCGGAATGACACCCACCGACGCGCACGTGTTCGTGCAGCCGCTTGAGCGCTAGTCTTTGTATGTGAACGGATTAGGATATAACCGGCCGCGTATTCACGTCGCCGCTGTAGTGGGGCGTGCACATAGTCGAGGATAATCACCAGCGGGAGCGCGCGCGTGCTCGCCGCCACGTGAGCATTAGGGGTGGTGTGCGCGGGCTTGTGTGGAGTAACCCCGTGCGGCGGTGAGCCAGCCATTCAAGCTATGTTTTGACTTCAAACTTTCGTGACTGCAGGAATTTATATTCTTGGTTCTTTCGGTAAAGTCACGTAGATAGAAAATAAAAATAGATAATAAAAATAAATTACAAATTCTCAATTGAAAATAATAAAAGCAAAAAACCACGACGTTTCGATCGCAACACAAGTGGTCTTCATCAGGCGGAGAGAAAAGAGGGGACAAGCCTCCAAATGCAACTGCTTATAAGGGCTTTCAAAGTGAATGGGCAGGGCAGCCAGCAATAATGTAAGAGACAATGGGGGGAAGGAGGGGGCAGAGACAGGGGGAGAGAGAGGGGGGAGTAGAGATAGAGGTGGAGCTGAAAGGCGAGGGCACAGTCCAAGTGTGTTAGACAATGGGCGGAGGAAGAGGGTAGAGATAGGGGGGAGAGAGGGGGGTAGAGATAGGGGGAGAGAGAGGGGTACAAGTAGTGCGTTAGACAATGGGGGGAGGGAGGAGGCAGCAAAATTGCAATTAAACTTTCATCACATAAGTCCAAGAGCTAAAATAAAAATACGTGGTGGCTATGCATGTCTGTAATTTAGTGCTTCCATGGTGAGGAGTTGGTGGATAATGCAGAGATCATCATTTGGGTATGTCTAACCTACAGGGCTGCGAGATGGCCTGTTAGTTGCAATATAGCATGTATGTTGTTACTCTTCAATATATGTACAGACTAGCTTTATTACCCGGCTTCGCCCGAGACTTGGATTCTTGTCTTTGATTAATACACGGCCTACGTGGAGGGTGGGGGGGATGCATGACGTCAGCAGGCTACCGCATGCGGGTGACATGACAGATGTGACGTCACCACTCACTTGCCGTGCAAAATATACACACACTAGCATAAGTACCCGGCGTTGCCCGGGTGAAAAATATATTTCTTAATAACCTTACATATATACACAGATGGGCTGCTACCCCCCCCCCCCCCCAGCCACGATCTCCTCGGCCGCTGTGCAGTAATATGTACGGCCTATAGTGTGGTGGGGTGTCGAGGCCTAGTACCGTGCAGAGCCTCCGGCCTCGCCTAAATTGCCCACCCGGCTGAGGCTGGGTACAGGGTGCCATTCCCCCCCCCCCCGCGCTACAATAATACTGTCTAATCGCTATAATTTTATTATCTACCGACCCTATAATAGTAATTGCACACATTGTGGTGGAGGGGGGAGTGAAGAGGACGTGAAACTTTGATAAATTTACCTCAGTCGCGTGTTAATGCGTGCGCATATTTTTAACGGGAATTAAAAATGGCGTCCACCCGGCAGCGAATGCGTCGCTACCCGTTGCCAGGGGCAACCGCCGTCCAATGAAACTGCGTATGGTCCGGCCACACAGGCACACACACAGACAGACCGACAGACAGACAGATTTGCGATTTTATATATATAGATTCACAAATTTCCCTTTTATACATATAGATATGGCAGCAAACACGCTTTAAGTATTAGTATGACATTTGAGTGTTACAGTATATTTATTT